GAACACAGTCACATGGCCACAAAGGTAGGAGGCAAAATATCCTTAGACCAAGTGACCGGCCCTTCGCCCAAACACTGGTGGATCAGTGACTGTGGGCAAAGACAAGATCAAATACCAGGGTGGAAAAAATCCTGCACCTCACTAGGGTCTTCAGGCCGTTCAAACCTTACTGGTCCTTCCTGGGAAGGTGATGTTCGTATCTGGCCCAGGCATTCAAGGGGAGGCTTCCCGACCACTGTACGGATTGAGGCCAAGTGATACTATTGTTTCAATGTTAAGATTCAGATGCATTTTGAGAGTCCCCGCCCTAAACGGTTTCATGTACTGCCTAGGAAACACTCGGGGTAAGTGTCTGTGAGGTTGCATATTCATCAGTGAGCAGACAGCTAACACTCCACCCACTCCCTCTTTCTTCTCCTCCCTCCTCCTTCCCTCTCCTCTCCTCCTCTCCCTCACCCTCTTCTCCTGCCTTCTCTCTCTCCCAACAGCAAACACAATGTTTCCCTTTAGAAGGCAGTGTACCCTGAGAGAAGTAAAAATAATTTTCTGTAGCCGATGGTGCCAAGCTCAGAACAGAAGCCGACAGCTTCCAGCATTGAGGAGTTGCTTAGCATGCACAATTCAGGGCAAATCAGAGGCACGGCTTGACTGTGTGATGGTATTAGGTGGGGGCTGCTCAGACCCAGTCCTGCCCCAGGAGGGAGGTCTAGAACACTTTAAGTATTGAATCCAGAGCAGTCACACCCCTTGGGCTTTACATGCGATTTTGGTCATTCCATGTTTTGCTTTTTCTGACACAGCTGTGTGTAGTAGTTGGGTGGGTTTTTTTTTGTTTGTTTGTTTGTTTTGTTTTGGTGCAATTCCTTAATATTAGCATTCTGCATATCCCAAACTTAAGTAGATCTTGATGGGCCCATTATACACACACACACACACACACACACACACACACACATACACACACACACACAGTCCATGAAAATATGGTAGAATCTGTGTTAAAGGCATGCCGAGAGCAAGTGTTTACTTGTACTGAATGCATTGCTACTTAATAAGAATTAAAGGTCTGGAAATGGCTCAGCTAGTCAGAGTGCTTACCAGGCAAGCCTGACTGCCTGAGTTCTACCCCAGAAACCACACCCCAGCTCCCTCTGAGCGAGATGCTGGGCAGAGATGCCAGAATGCATAGGCAGAAACATGCCTTCAGAACAGCATTAACGACCGCAGTAAGAGATCTCACTTGAAAAGAAAGTGAGAACCCGCTCCTAAAAGTTGCCCTCTGACCTCCACATGCCTGAGTGCATACACACAAACAGACACAGTAGGCAAATGCACTAAAGCCAGAACAGAGCCAAACTGCAGCAGGCTTGTTTTGCTCTAATGATTTCCCCAGATTCTCAGAATCATATCCTGGTTTTTTTTTTTGTTTTTTTTTGTTTTTTTTGTTTTGTTTGTTTGTTTGTTTTGTTTTTCAAGACAGGATTTCTCTGTATTGCTTGGGGGCTGTTCTGGAACCCGGTCTCCAGACCAGACTGGCCTCACAGATATCCACCTGCTTCTGCCTCCCAAGTGCTAGGATTAAAGGTGTGTGCCACCAATGCCTGGACCCCCCTTTTTTTTTTAAAGAGTTCGTATTATGTACACAGTGTTCTGCCTGCATGTATGCTTGCACTCCAGAAGAGGGCACCAGATCTCACTATAGATGGTTGTGAGCCACCGTGTGGGTGCTGGGAATTGAACTCAGGTCCTCTGGAAGAGCAGCCAGTGCTTTTAACCTCTGAGCCATCTCTCCAGCCCACATCCTATCCTTTTAAGCTGCATGAATTTCGTAGTGTGTATGTGTCTATTCTTGTCAGTCGAGAAGCCAGGACTTGTGTATATTGACGAGCCCTGGTTACTTCTTGGTCTTGACACATCTGCCATGTTCCTCTGGAGCCCAGGGTTTAGTTTCCTGAAGTGACAGAGATGCCTTCCGTGTGAATGAGTCTTAGGAGGACAACGGTGTGTGGTTCAGAGTCTGCATGGGACAGATCCAGGCAGCATCCATCCCAGTGACACATTTCACTTCTCTGTTTTGTTGTTGTATTTTTGTTTGTTTGTTTGTTTTTCGAGACAGGGTTTCTCTGTATTGTTTTGGAGGTTGTCCTAGAACTGGCTCTGTAGACCAGGCTGGTCTGGAACTCACAGAGATCCGTCTGCCTGCTTCTGCCTCCCGAGTGCTGGGATTAAAGGCGTGTGCCACCACTGCCTGGCTTGTTTTTTTTTTTTTTACCATGACGTGTCATGCCAGTCAGTGTTTAGGAGTGAGGAGATGGGATAATGGTCTGTATGAGCTGGATTTGTACGTCAATCCTGCGTGGAACTGGGTAGCCAACGGGGCAATCCGGAGGAGCCGTTTCTGTTGTCTCCACGAGTGTTTCCCATCCTTAGTGCCTGATGGCAGCACAGACTCTCGGGACCTGTCTCAGAGCCGCAGAGTGGGAGGGCCCAGCCGCCAGTGTCTTACCAGATGCACAGAGGATCAGGATGTGTTCTAACGTCTGAGAGCTGGCACGTCTTGCCTGCCACGTTAGTCTCTGGACTTGAGCTCAGGTGGAAACTATTAAGAAGCCTCCATTCCATGGGGCCAGGGAGATAGGATAGATATCGATCAGCAGGAGTTGGCTCTGCAAATTCGAGGACCCATTCAGGTTGTTGCTTGTGTTTGTAATTGCAGAGCCCAGGAGGAGGACACTGGTAGATCCCAGAGGCCTATTGGCCAGTCCACCTAGCCTGATCTGCAAACTCCAGTCCAGTGGGAGAGCCTGCCTCAAGAAACAAGGCGAGTAGTCGCACCTGAGGCATGACTCTAAGGTTGACCCCTGGCTGCCACTCTGTACACTGGTGTACCCCATCAAGACCTTTGGAGAGTTTCTGTTTTATTTCCTCCCTTCCTTTCAATTTACTCTCTGGTGCAGCTGTGGGAATTTGAAGGAAGAATTCCTCTTCAGTAAGAGGTACTCACAGGAGGTAACGGGACCAGCGGAGATGTTTCCCACAAACCACAGGAAAGTGGCCTCACATCTCCTCGTTTCCTGCAGGGATCCGATGTCCCCCATGACAGCCTCACTTCTGACTTTAAATGTAACCTATGCCAGGCCAAAAGCTTAAAAAAAAAAAAAAAGGAAACTTGGAGAGAGGAAGTAGGAAAGAGGAAGTAGTAGGCATCTGTCACCACTCTGAACCCCCAAAGACCCCACACTCCGACTAGTGTGTGCTGCGTTAGCTGCCAGTCTTATGCCTCGTGACATAAACGGAAATCATACTTTATGATTCTAGCTGTACACCCTTTTTTTTTTAATATTACGACGATTCCAGTTTGGAAGCTGGCATCGGATTGCACTGTGTGGGTTTGTTGTGATTCGATCAGTCGTTTGCCTCTGCTAATGCCATGCCTGTTTTCTGTTGAGTGCAAGCGTCCTTGTAAGGAGACGGGAGCGCTGCTCTGATTGTTTTCCTTAAGACAGATTCCTAGAAGCTGATTCACTGAGCCAAAAGTTACATTTAAAGGCTCATGTAAATAGGATTAAAGTTGTTTCCAGAAGGGTCTTGCCAGTTCATTCTTACTCCCTGGGTGAGGGAGTGAGTGCGTCACAGTTTGTGCTCTGCCAGACGTCGTCATTGTTGTCTTAGAAAACAGAAGCCCAGGCCCAAACTATCACTTTGTCTAAAAATCCACAGGTCAGTTTTTGCTAGAGGGAGCTTTGCGTCCCTGTCCCCCAGCCCCTTCTCTGTGGATGTGACTGCAGAGCTCTGCACGAAACAGCTCTATCTTCCTTTTATTCATTCTTAGGGAGCCGTGGTTTCTCTTCCTGGGTTAGACAGCTGTGGTTCGGGTTTCACTTTATTTTGAGATTTGAGACCGTCTGGAATTCTTGGCTTTGCCCCCCTGTCGGCTCATCTTCATGGTGTCTGGGGCCTCATCTGTACTGCTGTTGCGATTTGTTGTTGTTGTTATTGTTTGTGGTTTTTTTAAATTGCTGTTGTTGTTTGTATTTTGGGACAGGGTCTCTCAACGTAGCCCCCCCGGCTATCCTGGCCTCCACTGTGTGTTTTAATTTGCTCAGTGCACGTTTGTGCGGACAGTTGTGTCGTTTAGGACAGTGTGCTCAAGGGGCACATGGAAAGGTCTATGGCGTATCCTAGCACACAGCATGCGCAGTGCTGCCTTCAGACTATCCCAGATTACCAAGGCCTGCTGACGAGGAGGCCATGCCGCACACCCCTCCCTCACAGTCACTCACAGACGCACACGAATTCTCCGCCGGGTCTCTGACTACTGAAACATCAGGGAACCCGTTTTCTTGGCAAATGACTTGTGACGGAAGGACTGAGTGAGTTGAAAATCGTTCGAGATTCGGTAGAGAGCTTACGTTCCCGCGATTGCCTTTGACATCTTCAGGCTGCCCCATCTGGTTACAGTGACCGGGTCACACAGGTTGATAGCGAGCCTGGGTACCTTCTTAGAGAAACCTCTGGGCTAGGAGAGAGTGTTAGATAAGACCTATCCTGTCCCGCTGAAGGGACCTTTGTATCCTGACTGTTCTACTGTTGGATGCGTAGAGTTCCTGCTAGCTAGAACTCACACTGAAGTCTGTGGTTCAGGGAGGAGAGTAAGAGGCCTCTGTTGGAAAATTCCAAGAATGATGGACGCAGTGGGAGGATTCCTTCCCTGAAGCCATTCTCCTCCTGTGTAAAGCTAAAATGAGCCAGCGCTCCGTCAAATCCCTTGGTAGTATGTGCAAATGGCCTACTCAACATCCTCCTGCGTACTTGAGTTCACCTGTGGCCGATATCTAATCTAGTGTAAATAATTGCACTACCGAGTTGTTTAGGGAATATTGACAAGAAGCGTCATCATTACCTGTTCAGCCTCAGCCCCCAATATCTTCTCTATGGTTGACTGGACCTTTGGACAAGATTCCCCCAGACAAATGGGAGGTAGGAAAACTCAGGAGGGGTGAGGTGGGAGGACCAATTTAATGTTTCTTTTCTAGGGTCAAGTCCACAGATTGACACATTTTCTTCTTGTCCTGGGCACTGTGAACCATATGACTTCCTGTTCAACCCTGGAAATTAACAAATATTGCATTAATGAACACATGGGCTATGTCCATCTCAAAGTCTCCTAGGTGTACTCTGTTCATCCATCCACCTGGTTTCTATCCATTTATCCATTCTTCCCTCCAAGCATCCATCCACTCAGACAACCACCCACGTTCCCAGTAAAAATGTGTTAAGTAGGACCAGCCAGCCTACTTCTTTAACCACTAAAGCCATCTCTCCAGACCCTACCCAGCCTACTTCTACAAATAACGGTTCGAAGGTTTCGGCTTGTAAAGAATAGCAGTGGTGCCCACTGAAGTGAGACCCAGGGGTGACCTCCATAGAAGCTTTTTTTTTTTTTGTCAAAACTAAATATAATGGAAACCATATAGAGAATCTATTCAAAGGTCATGGCTGTGGGAGATGAAGTTGTTGAGGGCTGAGCGTAGAAACCCTTTACCTGTGGCCCACAGCTGGAGAGCTTCCCAAGCTGATGCTCCAGACAGTTCCATTTAGTTCCCAGTTTTGAAAATAGGGAACCAAGGAGGACAGTGATCTCGCCGGCTTATTTTGGGGATGTGGTCAGCAGGATGACGGCCCCACGTTGTTTTCCTCTTAATCTCTGGGATCTGTGACTAAAAAGACTTCGTGTGGATGGTCAAGGGACTTCACAGTGTAACACACTGTGGTCGGTCACACTGGAGGCGGAGCTTGGTGCAGAAGCAGTTTCCTTGTTCTGCCCTGGTGAGTATGATTTTGCCCCTTTGACCCGTGGCCTCCGGTGTTTAGTTGGAAAATAGAAACTCCACTTCAAACCACACAGAAGAGCGTATCCTGTCTGTAGCCGCCTTATCTCTGAATGAGTTTCCTGTGGACATCGCTAGCCTTACAGCTGGGGGCTAGCTGGTCTACCCAGCGAGTTCCAGGAGAGCCAGGCTGCACAGAGAGAGAAACCCTGTCTAAAACCTCCATCCTCCCGAAACACTGACCCTGAGGCTTTTCACCCCTCCGCCTGCTCCTTGCCCATCATTTGCTGTGAGGCTTCTCATGAAAGGAGAACATGCACCCTGAATTGGGTCGGAAGGGGAGCTTCCAACAGGGTTCTCTGAAGTCCTAGGGGGAAGCAGTATTGGGGGTGTAGCTCTGTGAACTCCACGAGACACTGGATGTTAATGTGTGACAGTTACTTCTGTGCATGTCCCCTGCTAAGCTCGGTGTTGATGCTACTGTAAAAACAGGTTAGACAGACCTTTGTGGACCCCCTAAATCCTCTCTCCTCCCAGCTACAGGAGGAGTTGAACTCACGACCCAGTTAGGTAACGGTGTGGTAGCTTAACCCTCTTGAGTTGTTTCTCTGTAGTCTCCCTAACTTACTGTCATGTAGTCTTCCCAGACTCAGGCTGATTCCCTCCACGGTTTGGTGTGGCCTCCAGAAACCCCCAGAACCTGGAGTGGTGGCAGTTGCTGTGTTTTGAGTTCCTTCTGCCTTCCAAAGAGGAGAAGCTGAGAAAAATGCTTCCTGTTATTTTTTTGCTCAGTTAATTTCACATGGGAAAACATCCAAAAATCAAGACGTGTTGAACGTGGTGTGCTTCTGCGACGCATGACAGAACGGTGGCCCCAGGGGCTGTGGGTTCACAAGACCCGAGGCCTCTTTTAAGCCTGGAAATCGTGGGCCCTTGTGTCGTTCCGACCAGGTTGGAATTTGATTCTTTCTCCTGTCTCTGCCCAATTCCCGGTGGGTCCTGTGAAAGATAAGCTGTTCTGGGTCAAAAGCGAGGTGCCCACATGACCAGCCCACACAACAGTTAGCTGTGGAACTTACCTGACTAAACTGGCTTGGGAAGCTGGAGAACCTTCACCAGCCCGCCACGGAACAAGCCAGCCATTCATCTCGAGCCTGGCACCTGGCAGAGATCACCTGACCGATGCAGGGCCCCTGTGTACAGGCTTTAAACATTATTCGTTCTCATTCTATTTCACTTGAGATAACTGGGCTTAAAAGAACGGGGCCTCGGGTGGAGAATTAGACACTAAAACAACACACTAAGCTTAAAAACAGCAGTAGAAAATCCAGAAGGACTTTAAAAGCAGTGCTACTTAAAGGGACCGGCCTTACATTTGGAACAAAGGTTTGTTTGGTGTCCCGCTAGAATGTGGCCCTGTATCAGGCGGGGTATTGCTCCATTGCGAGCTGGAGTGGTCCGTGACATGGGAGGCGTGTTGTCTGTAGAATAACACAGAAGGGTTGCCGAAATCTGGGCACCTCTTGCGATTGCAACACGACTTAAAGCCAAGAACATTGTCACGGGCGAAATGAGTTAACAGGGCAGTAGGAATCCTAGAGTCCTGTGGCTGTGACACCTGGCCCACTCCTGTGGAGGTAAAGGATGCATGGCAGACAGCTCTCACTGCTCCTCAGTGTAATGGATGAGGAGAAGATCAGGAGGGGCGGCAAGCTTGAGGCACACTGCCCTGTGGCTTTCCCACGCCTCTTGCTGTCTCCTCATCTTGTCAGCTGCCCCGGCTTCCAGTCGGGTCTTTCTGTCAAAGGTGACTTCTTTAAGCTGTGGGAGGGAGGCTCTCACTGCAGCTGCTGCTGGGTAGGTGTGGCCCCTGGAGCTGCCGCCCTCCACGCGGAAGTGGTTGGTCCCTGGGATTTTAGGACGTACGCTTTCTAGGTCAACCTCGGGTAGACTTGGACTTGCTGGAGTGGTGTGACTTTTCCTTTCTGTATGTGGCTAGAAAGAAGGAAAGATGGAGAGGGGAGGGGAGGGGAGGGGAGACATCCCATCTGTCAGAAGTTACCATCCTAAGTGAGGAGAGGGAGGAGCAGTGTGTGTCAGTTTAGACTCCCAGCTTATGCTCGCTTAATCATGTGTCAAGTCCCGGGTCAGATGGCCGTTTCTGCTGGGTCTGTGACAGCTCTCAGTGGGTGGTGTTGTTTGGGGAGGTTGTGAGCCTTCAGGAGGAAGCATCACTGGGAGTGGCCTTTGGGAGTTTACAGTCTCAGGCCACTTCCAGTTCCCTCCCTTTGCCTTGTGTTTGGTTTGAAGATGTGATCTCTGGGCTTCCTGCTCCGGCTGTGGCCTGCTGCTGTGCCTCTCCTGCTGATATTGACTGTCCCTCTGGAACTGTAAACCGAATGGAACAGACTCTTTGTAAACAGCTTTTGGTCACGGCGTTTTTTTCTCACACAGCCACAGCAAAGTGACTAAAACAGGTCCCTGATTACGCTCCTTGGAAACCGCGGTGGATTCTTTACACACAGCGTTCATCCAGTGGACTCCTCCACAGTTGGCCACCCAAGCCTCCCAGAAGCCAGGTGCCTTCCCTGCCGAAGCATCTCTCTAGGGAAGGTCATTGCCCGCCCTCCCCCATGTTACCTGCAAACTTAACGCACACTCATTATCTCTTATTGTTCTTTACTGTTCGACATAAGATGTTTATGCTGCACCCACTTCCTCGGAGAAGTAATGGTGTCAGAGTCCATTCTCCTGGCTGTGGAATTTACAGTCACCTCCTGGCTCCCCCCCCCCCCCATTAGCCTCATGTGTGTAGGTATCACATCCCTGGGGTAGGTCAGCCCTCCTGGCAGGCTTCCAGAGAGTTCTTGCAAGGAGCAAAAGCCCAGGCTTCTGGGAGCTCTGGTTTCTCCTTCACCAATGATCATCTTTCACTTTTATCAGAACGGCTCTCCCTTCAGTAACTCCAGCAGGGAAGCTGCGAGCCAGCCTTGCCTCACCTGGCCTCAAATGACCTGCTCAGGTCTCCCTGTCTCTTAACTACCCCTAGCCTTCCTCTGTGAGGTGAGTCCCAACCTGACTCAGAGCCAGGCTGACAGATCTGTAGAGCCTGGCCAGGAACTCAGAAAATAGCCTGCAAATAGCCATTGTGCCTCCTACTGGCCTGAGCCTGTGGCTCCCATGCTGAGAGAGACATGCTGCACAGCCTAAGCTTTTCGTTTTGGTTTCCTTGAGTCTGCAGCTGTAGGCTGACCCAAGCAGAGCACGGCTGAAACCCACCAGCCCTGTGACGGTGCCGAAGGCCAAGGGAGACTGGGCGCTCCCTAGTTTCACCACTGTGCACCTGATATTTTCAGGGTGATGGAGCTGATTGTTCTGTAAGAGCACTCAGGCAAACTCTTTCTACCCAAACAGAGGAAACAATGAAAACTGATGCCTTGGTTAGGCCCGCTCGTGTTCTAGAACAGAGCCGAGTACACACTAGGGGTTCTCATGATTTCTGTAAGCTCCATCCACTCTGGTGTGTGTGTGTGTGTGTGTGTGTGTGTGTGCACGCACGCATCATAGGAGAATGTCACATGCCCTGTGCTTTAGTCCTCCCTGCTTTGGTCCCTTGAGACAGGATCACTCTCTGCCTTGTTCCCTTGAGGCAGCATCTCTGGCTGAACCTGGAACTCACTAATAGGCTAGCTGCCAAGAAACCATCTGTGGACGGACAATCCCCCACCGACCTGTACAACCACCTTCAGTACAGGCACCTGCAGCCATGCAGACTTTTGGGTTTGAGCTGAGAATCTGACTTTGGGCCCTCGTGTTTGTGTAGCAGTGGTCTTAGCCACCAGGCCATCCCCCCAACTCCCCAAAGCTGCATCTTAATCTGGCTGCTTCGTTTATATAGTGCTCCCAGGGAGTGAAGAGCTGTGCACACAGGGTTGCTGGCCTTCAGCACGCTCTTCCCTCCAGCTGACTGTTCTTCATCCTGAGCAAATCTGACTTTTTTCTCTCTTTCTATTGGAATAAGGAACTTTAGCTGAGCTCCTGGCATGTTTCCTCTCTCTTCCCGTGCAGACACATGAACCCTGTTCCCTTTTCAGATGGTTCCCCTGAGAACACCCTGCTGAGTTGAGAGCAGATTATACCTTCTGGCCTGGTTAACTTTGTCCCAGTAGCTGAAAGGAGACTACAAGATAGAGTCAGCATGATCAAATCATAGGGAAGGGCTCCAGGGATTAATTCGGTGAAGTCAGAATAGTCAAACAGGGTCTGAGTCTCTCAGCGGGGCGGCCAGACCCACGTGACTGGAACGTGTTCTTGGGGCAGGGAGCTCCAGTTTCTGTCCTGCTGATGGTAGAGCTTCCATTGCCATTGTGTGATGGCAATCTGCAGCTGATGGCAGTGTCCATTGTGTGATAGTAGTATTCAGCTGATGGTAGCATCCATGGAATGGCGGCTACATGACAGTAGTCTTTACAGGATGTTTTGTTTTTCATAATTCTGGAATCAGAGGCCAGTGTAACTCTAATGTGGTGCTGACCGTGTTTGAAGAAGATATTTGAGTGTTGCTTGCTTGTCCTTTCCATGGAGACCCTGTTTGGATTGTGTTCAGTGACATTGTGCAACATGCTATTCCTTCTCTTTTGTCTTTCAAGAAAAAGCCAACAATGAGCAAATGTAGCTCCAGGCCTGCGTTGTCTGGTTAGGTCTCAGGGGTGGTGCTGTGCACACCAGTGAGGGAGGACCTACCACAGCTTCCAGCTGCCTCAGAGACCCTCTGTGTGCACATCCAGCGTTTTGAAGTTGCCTCGGGTATCCCCAGTGGGCTGTAAATTCCTGAACCATCAGGACCTTATCTGGACCAGTCTTGTTTATGTAGTCAGTTAGTACCAAAGGCAACAGAGCCTAGCCTGGAGCAAATAAGCCATGCAGTCAGATAAGGTGGCCCACACTTCTTATCCTAGGACTTGGGAGATGGACGCAGGTGGGTTGTGAGTGCAGGGTCAGCCTGGGCTACGTAGTGAGGTCTTATTTGAAAAAGTTGAATTGGAAAAAGAACCAGGACTGTGCTCCCAGGAGGCCTCAGGACTGTGCCCCTAGGAAGCCATGGGACACTCAGGAGGCCTTGGGACCTACACTGCTCCCTGTAACCAGCACATTTTTCCTTCATGATCATCCTACCGATACTCTGCTGATACTCTAGCTCTCGAGGGTTGGTCTGGTTGGACTGGTGTCCAAGTCTTTGATCTCAGCTGTCTGGGAGGCAGAGACAGAAGGCTCACAAGTTTAAGACCAGCCTGGTCAGTTTAGAAAGACCCTGTATCAGAACAGGAATTAAAAAAGGGGGCGCCTTCCTTATAGCTTGGTGGTAGTGAGCAAGGCCCTACTTTCAATCCACAGTTAGTACCGAAAGAGCTCCTCCTCAAAAACGAAAGAATTGGTCAGCGACAGCTGTGCCAGCATTCACCACGGTCTGCTGTGCGTGTCCCTTCTCTTCATCTTCCTGCCTTCCCAGTTGCCACCAGAAATACCCAGCACAAGGACTGAAGGAAGGAAACCAACCTTAGACACTGGGTTACGCTAAGAGCTGTGTCACCGGAGACTGTCATGGGTTTGCCTGTCCCCAGGGCAACAGCCTGCAGGAGGCTGTGGTCTCCTCTCCCAGCCAGACACAGCCCAAGCCCAGAAGGGTCTATGCCAGTGCCAGCATCTCCTGCTTCTCCACTTTTTTTTTTTTTTGTTGTTGTTGTTTCTCGAGACAGGTTTTCTCTGTATTGTTTTGGAGGCTGTCCTGGAACTCGCTCTGTAGACTCGGCTGGCCTTGAACTCCCAGCTCTCCCCCCTAAAAAAAAAACCCATGAATAAGTTTGTAAGGGTTTTATGCCTAACAGCAGCCTCAGATGACAGAACTGACACACACTATGCCCTGCTGTGACAAGGGCCAGGTCTAACCCTGCACCCAGGACTCCTTATCAGATTTTTAACTTTTCTCCGGGTCTTCCTACGACCTCTAGACTTGTTCTTCCAGGTGGATCTGGAACCTTCTTTCTGTTTCCATGGAAGAGACGGGGCAGAAGACCAGGAGTTCCAGGCCGCGTGGGCTATGTGAGGGGGCTGTCTGCACCAACCAGAAGTTCCGGGGAGGGTGCTTGGGCCTCCACCCTGGAGCACTTGCCACTACTGGCCTGGGATCTTGTCCCCAGGCTGCTGCTGGGACTGGCATCTGTCCCACTCCCCTCCACTCATTTTGTCAACCCCATGACTCTCAGGCCACTTTGCTCCTCTTGCATGCTGCTCCTGACCTTCAGGTCCTGGGGGTTTCCTGGTGACGGGGTGATGTCTATCCACCTGGGAAGCTTGTTTCTCCCTGTCTGTGTCATGGCAACCTGCGTGGCTTGGTCATAGTGGGAGGGGGGTGGTGGCTTGCTCTCCAGGTCATTTTCCTGAGCACCACGGCAGCTCAAACAATCTTTTTCTTTTTCATGAGGGTTTTGAGGCTCACGAGCTTTTCATTCTCCTAACACGCACACCTCTTGGCCGCCTCTCGCAGTAGAGAGTGGTTCCCAGTGCAGACAACATCAAGAAGGTGTTCCAAGGGAATGGGTACCGCTTGGGGGCCGA